GTACCATATAAACTATCATTTTACAGAAAGATATTTGGAAAATATTCATCCAATTTTTTTTTCTATTCATTTGAAGTTACATGATAAATAGTGGTGGCTTTAGACTGCGTGCACCATACAACTTGCAAGAATCAATACCAATAAAACTCTTTGATATTGAAGCTAACACTATTCAGACGAATGTCCCTTCCCAGTTACCACCTTAATTCGCTTAATGGAAGTTGTAATGTCTTTACCGTCCACTTCCACAATTGCAGTATGGTTATTCGCTGCCAATCTTTTGAATTTACCCTCTTGGGAAAACGTAGGCTGCAACTTACGTTTACGAGTTTTTGGATTCATGTCGTGGTCTGGTGCTATGACCACTGAGGTTCCAGCTTCAATTGTATTGTTTGCTGTCTTTTTTCGGTAAACACTGCCCTGTTTGCATAACTTAGAGCGATATTTATCTAACGAGTTGTTCACCGATTGCTGAAGCTGTTGCACTCGTGACGTGCGTTTCGTAATATCATCACCAACTGCATCTGATGCTAACATCTGATTTTCCTCATCAACCTCTTCGTGAGGTGTACGACCATGGGCCCGATGTATGGTTGAGTTATAACTGATGATGAAAGCATCGATGACATGAATCCAGTCTTTCCGTTGCAATCTGTTCTCGTCATCCCAGAGTAGCTTGGTGAAGCCACGGCCAATTGTCTGGTTAAGCCGTTCGATTTGACCTTGGCTTTGGGGATGACGAGGGCGACCGTGTCTGATCGTTATCCCACGAGTCTGGCAATTTTGTGTAATGACATAGCAAGAATCGACTTGTTTTCTTCTTATCTGACGTTGTAAATCTTTCATTCCTGACAACACAGAACTATATTAATGCATTTCTATCGTACGATACGTTTACTGCTTTAATCGTATGACTTCAATCGTATGATGTCTAGCTCTTTGGTTGTATGATTCTAAGTATTTGTGTAGCCAATGTGTAAGTATTGTATCGGACAATTAATCATCGTACGGGTGTGGTCCACCAATTAAATTTACAAATTGTCACGTGAAACCGACTTATCGAGACCCATCCAACTACGAGAACTGGAGCCGTTGGCCGACTTAACGACTTTATCGAGAATTTACATAGGTTGGCCGACTTATCGAGAAATTTTAAATAGTGAAAAAAAAATCCGGCCGACTTAAGCCAAAACCGACTTATCGAGGGGCCGACTTATCGAGTCTGACTGTATATATCGAGCCTTAGCTCCCTCTCTCCTTTGATCACTTTCATTTTAAGCGAGTGGACTTGAGATTCTGCGGTTTCTTTCTCCCTTTGTAACCGTTTATTCGCTTTTTCTAATAAATTTATTTTAGATTGAATCGCTGTAATGGAAGAGTAATGCTTACTTAATCCTTCCACTATAAATGCTTTAGCTTTGTTTATAATGTACGGTGAAAAAATTTTTGCTTTCGGTTTCCCGCTAGTACTAGAATATCTCATTGTTTCAAAGAGATGACAAGCTGCTGCTACTTTGTCATCGGGCAGTAATCAATTAATTGTGCTTTCTTTCTTTCTAGACGTATCGTGTTTTTGGAAATGTCAATGTTCGATTCAGGGACATCAATTGTATTGATAAACTGATAATTCCGCTACATTATTTTTTGATATAGCATTAATGTCTGTTGGTGGTTCAGAGATTTCGACAGCCGTTTCTGATGTAGTATTACTAGCGGTGGAAGTCCCTTGATAGCGGGCTTTGTTTAAATGTTTATGTTGCCCTGTTGGACGCGGCATTTTAAAGTTGGATAGTCTTTATTAAATCATGATATCTTCGGACCGTATATAAATAAAAATTCCAAGATGTCTTGGCTCATATTATTTTCTTGGTGTATGGATTACTTCTATTTCTAAAAATAACCGACTTGGCAAATATTAATATCAATGAAGAAAAGTCGGTACAGTTTAAGTTCTTGGGGCTCAAGAACAAGATTTTCGAGTCCGGTTTTTTTTTTAAAAAAAAAAAAAAAAGCGAGAATTCAATTTTGTATGTTTACTCCGAGGCCTAATTTCATTAATTCTGGCTAGCAATAAAGTAAGGAGTGACCGGAGCTATCTTGCTAAATTAACGTTGAGTGCCGATCATTTCCCGATCATTTTCGATAATGAAAACATACAACTTCAAATCGCCAGGGCTTTTTGAAGGAAGCAAGCTACGCTCATAAAGACTATACTGGTGCATACTGTGACTCCTTCAAAAACCTTAGGGATTTGAAGTTTGCCTTTTTTTACTATTGAAAAGTGGTCGGCAGAAAAAACCTTTGTTTATGGATTTTCATGAGGCTTCCCTATGTACTGATATCTAACCTCAACCCATGTCGTTTAGATCTGTCGACTTTATGTAAGTATTAAACTGGTTTACGTATTGAGTTAAGACTTTATTTCCACCAACATGGGCGCATGCTAAAGCTAGGGTTTGCTTCTCTAATTATGCCGAGAATACAGACAATTTTTAGTTTCACTTTCACAACCATTGCATTTAATTAGATTGTACAATACAGTGAAACTCCTCTAAATGCATAATTCCTCTAAGTGCATACTTCTGTCTGGTCCCGAGTTCGGACTTATCTGTTATTGTACACACCATTTGAATTCGATTTTTATAAATCCATGCATATATCACATGATGTATTATATCAATTTTTCCCGTCGCATAATAATACTAATGGTGATCAGTTCTAAAAATGTAATCAATCAGAAGTCTAATTTGTCGTTAAGAGCCTATTTACTGTAAAAAAGCTTTTTTTTATTTAATACCACCGCTTAATTACCCACTTCCTAAATCATTCATTGATTGAACTCCTATCTTGTTCTACAACAAATAATCATCCAAACCTTTTTGTACAAGTGATTTTACCTTCAATCTTTCTAATACACGGCTCTTTATTATATTGTCAACCTCTTTTGAATACAGTCAACCCTCTTTATAGTCACCCCCTCTATAAGCACATCATATGAAAACCTCTTATAAGCACACCATGTTTGGGAACCAATTACTATTGAACTTATAGGAAAAACACTCTATATAGTCACACCTCTTTATAAGCACATTTTCAACAAAAGTTGCATTGTTCCCGACAGCGTGACTATAGAGAGGGTTGACTGTATTACCTTCCTGACTTAAAAAGAATCGGATTAATTTGTTAAGCGATTCCGTTGCTGAAACAACGGGGTTTAGCACTTCGGGTGGCTTTAACTTATGTTACAGCAAAGATCCACTGATAATCTCTCTTTATTATTTTTTTATCTGCTAATTGTTGAGTTGCCAATGTCGTATCAGGTTCCATCCGGAAAAAAAGTCCAGTTTCGTCCATGTTCTATATATCTTTCCATACGTAATTGTTTGTTAGCTGCTTAAGATCAGTAATGGTTTCTCCAATTATTAGTCCGCTCACAGAACCACTCTCACCATGCATGTAAATTTGCTTTAAATTATGTCTTTTTTTAGACTGACGAAAGCCAGCCGTTTGAAAATGTAATTACATCGTAAAGACCGCGCCTTTTCCACTAACAATTGATCTGTTAGTGGTATTTGTCCTTGAGCTCGCAGGCACCATTCCAGTAGTGCTTTCTCAAGTTCCGGAAACTTTACAGTTTGGGCACGTTTCTGGAAGGGCTTGTGCAATTCATCTACGTGTATATCCAAGAATTCACTTGATTGCTTTAGCAATCGAGATATTGTTGCTTGATCGATTTTCACTTTTAACGTCTGTTTACACCATTCAACAAAATCCTTTTGGATTATCCTGTTTTTTAAGCAAATTTCACGTCTTTGAATATTTGTCAGGGTCGCTTTTGTCATTGGAAAGAGAAAAAAATTTTATTATCGGCTTGTGAAAGAATTTATTGTAAATCTTTATTGGAAAAAGATATCCAATCAATTGCATTTGCTCCATATCATGCGACTATCCTCTAAATGCATAACGCCTCTTAATGCATAAAATTCTGCGGTCCCGACGGTTGCATTTGGAGGAGTTTCGCTGCGTTGTATATCATTTTAAAGCTAAATAATGGCAGATTTTATTAAAAAATTTAGGTTACTATAACCTCACTACACCGTTGTGGCATTGATTCTATAATACTAAGTAGGAGGCTATCTGAAATTTGCCACTCCTCGCCCATAAATCGCCCAACTCGTTGGGATTTTTGAGCCTACGCGTTTCTACGTTACTTTCAACAATTTCCAGAGGGTTTCAATAAGATTTAGATCCGGAATGTTAGAAGACCAATCCATAGCCTCTGGAAAAGTTACGCGATTTCTAAGTCTACGCAATTTTTTTGCAAATGATTTCTTTACACACTGTAAATAACAATTTTAAACTATAATAATAATAGATAACTGTTGTTATTATTGTCAATAAAATAAATATTGTTATATTTGCTGTATTATTGTGGGGATTAAACATACAGTAGGATGCAAAAGTATCCCCCACTTCTAATTCGGGACATGAATGAGTAATTACTTTGAAAGTTTCCCTGCATATAGTGTATAATAAACCCTGATTACTTGTAAAATTTTAGCTTGATCGGATGTCTCCAGTAAAAATTTACAAACGTCCAATATTTGCCTCTAAAACATATAAAACCATATAAAAACCCTACATCGCTTATTTCAATTTATACTTCAAAAATCCACATCTCCACATGTTTTTAATTGATTTGCGGGATCTTTTTTTTTTGTTTTGTTTATCAAACCAATTCCTACATATTTATTAGATGTGGTAGTCGAAATTTCTATTATACTTGGCAAGACACGTGAACGATCTTTATAAGTATCATTATGCCGCACAATTGTTTGTATTTTGTTAGTAGAGATCACACAGTAATTTGTTCTAAAATTACGTGAATGCAATTTGGTGGTGCAGAGGAACAAAATAAATAAAAAAATCACAAAATTTGGTTAGAGAAGTGTTGAGATATGAATTTTTGAACTCTTATGACTAAAACCCGTGGTAAAAACTTTGGTTTTGCTGGAGACATCAGATCAAGCTGAAATTTTACAAGTGATCAGGGTTTATTATACACTGTATACAGGGAAACTTTCAAAGCATTTACTCATTTGTGTCCCGAATTAGAAGTGGAGGGATACTTTTGCATCCTACTGTATGTCTAAAGGCCGTGATAGTTTATTCCTTGGGGAATTTTTACCAAAAATATACAAATCCAATTGCTTGTAGAACTGATAGTTTGTATTAGGAAAAAGATAGCCTATATTATTAATTATAGTTCATGGTTATAACCTTTTTAATAAGCATAGGCAGGAAGAATTCTTTTATTTTTTACCATTTCACTGATTCGGTAAATTATAAACTCAAAGGACAAGGAACATTGTTCGCATAAGGAAAAAAATCACGAAAGGAGTCAAAGTTTAATTCCACGCCTAGCTCGTCAAACTTATTTCTTGTACAGCCATAAGAAAGCAGCATACTCTGTATGTCGAGATGACACAATGTGACAGATTAAAACGAAATGTATTAGTATTAAAATAAAATTTTTGGAATTTTTTTTTGGGATTTGGGTTGGGATTTAGGGTAACTTTTGTTAATAGAAGAGTATATGTGGCATTAAAAGAAGATCCAAATTTCGTTTTAGATTTCGTTTCCCGCAAAGATTCAACAGCCATTTTATAGATTTTCGTTTTATGGAACGAGTGCGTTGTTGAATAGTAATAGTGAATTGATGCTAACAATTGCTTAAAACATACATTAAAACTTGAAACAGTTGGTTTTGATGTGCACAAATTAGAAACAAGAAACCTCAAACAAAACCACGTTTCGCATTAGTCAATCAGAAGTACTCCACAGCAGCTCTAGAGGTCCACCTTAGTTGCGTCTAACAAAATCAGAAGTACTCCACTTATCATACACATTCAATTAGTGATAGAAATGTTCCATGCCTTAAAAGAGGCCTTGTTACCAGAATTGTTCAATGAGAATGTGGTTTTAATAAATTTATTATTATTGCCACCACATTTACGAAAATGAAAGGTCATCGAGTCCTTAGATCGAGTTAATGCAGCCATAACTCTCTACCAAGAGTATTATTTGAATTTGTGCCTTTCACTTGTAATTGATGATGATATAATAGGAAGGGTAACATTCGTCAATTTGATTAATTAATTAAAATGATGAAGAATGGGGGTAAGACAAGTCTGTGGCGTTCGGCAGTTTTGTACCTTGTGGCGTCTTGTTCTCCGCTCTGGCAATATGACTATTTAATCCCACGTTTTGTCTTGCATATTTACTTTCTTTATTAGTAATACCCTACCCTTTGTCTCTTGGCATCTCCCTTCTCTTCCCTCTTCCTACTTTAAACTTCCGTTTTTGCTCTCCATTCTCATACTTTTACACCTTACCTAACCTTTGCACTCTATATAGATTACGGCTCATCACCCCGAACTTTGTTGTGTGTATAAAATCTACATTTATTGCGGTGCATATTTGACCAACTATGCAACGTTCCTCACCGCCTCCTCCTGTACCCTGGGTGTCTACAACAACTTTCCACAGTTTACCTACTCCAGCGCCCTCACCACAATTACTTCCTCACTTGTCTGACGGATATCCAATCACCAATCGGCCAGACGACTTTAATAGAACAGTAAGAATGGGTTTTCAGAATATGGACAATTTACAAAGACAGCGTCTGCTGGCCGAACTCTTAGATTCATGTAATAATGAACAGCTTGTATTTGTATCTAATTATATTTCTCCTCGACTGAAACGAGATTTCCTAAAAGAACTTCCTATTGAGATAAGCCTTCATATACTGTCATTTATAAATGATCCTAAGACGTTATCAAGAGCATCCTGTGTATCTAAATTTTGGCATACTTTACTCAACGATGAATTTACATGGAAGAATCTATGTGTACGTCATCATTATAGGAGACGTAGCTCGGTATCCTTATCATCACCTCCTTCACCGACTGCATCCGAATCTTCAGATTTATCATCAAACAAACGATCCAGCCACTTTTCGTATAAAGATCATTTCCGGCGCCGTTATATTGTAGAGTCAAATTGGAAGAACGGAGGAAGAACTCTAGTTACCCATATTAGTACCGATGTTGGAGTGGTCACTTCATTGCAAATGTGTCGAAATTATATTGTTGTCGGAATGGATAATAAGAAGATTCATGTGTTTGGTGCGTTTGACGGGAAACATGTAAAAACACTTACAGGTCATGAAGGCGGTGTATGGGCTTTGCAATATATCGATGAAGTATTGGTCTCTGGCGGATGCGACAGGTATGAAACAGTACGTGATTACTTTGTTGAGCACGTAGTGAATGCCTCGAGGTCCACGTGCGCGTGATAATGAATATCCAGGTTGATTTATTATCTCGCATTGTTCTAAATATGCTGTCAAATCAATTTAGAGATGTGCGTGTCTGGGATATAAATACAGGACAATGCAAACACGTTTTACATGGACATACATCAACTGTAAGATCACTAAAAATGAAAGACAAAAGAATAGCCGTTAGCGGGTCACGCGATACTTTGTTGCGAGTATGGGATATACAAGAAGGCATATTATTGCATTTACTCGCTGGACACGAAGCTAGTGTTAGATGTATGGAGATACATGGGGACTTGGTAGTATCAGGAAGCTACGATTGCACAGCCCGCGTAGGTTTATTTGAACGGTTTATATTGAAAATTGAACTGCATTTTTAGCATTTATCTAATGACCGTTTTTTCGTTTGATAGGTATGGGATCTGACAACAGGCCAATGCCTTCATGTCCTCCATGGACATTATTCTCAAATATACTCGATAGCGTTTGACGGCGAGAGGATCATAACTGGGTAAGACAAGAACGACAAATGAATGTCGAAACAATACCCAATATGTCACTTGATGAATTTCGTTTGTTTTTTTATCAAACTACTCGCTGTTTTATTAACGTTTCGTTCGTTCATTTTGTCGATAACTCGCTAGTTCACTCGACTCAACAGCTAGAGTATGGTCACCAACGTCAGGCCAATGCCTAGGTATATTACAAGGACATACATCGCTTGTCGGCCAAATACAACTCAAGGATACTACTCTTGTTACTGGAGGCAGTGATGGTGCAATTCGGATCTGGGATCTGGAAACATACCAGTGTATTCATAGAATGGCTGCTCACGATAATTCAGTTACTTGTTTACAATTCGATAATAAAAGGATCGTATCTGGTGGCAATGATGGTCACGTCAAGCTATGGGATATACAGACAGGCACCTCCATCCGCGAACTCACTTCAGCTGGCAATGCAGTGTGGAGACTCGCTTTCAATGATACAAAGGCCGTTATTCTATTACAACGAGAAGGCAAAACTATAATGGAAGTGTTGGACTTTGAGGCTGATTCTTGAAGGTCATATTTGTATTGTTTATTAGATAAATATTTAATGTAATCTTAGTAATTCACACTCATTATCAGACGGTGCAACAGATTTAGAATAATTGTACAAAACCTTCATCTCTTAATTCGTATGGGAACAAAGATGCCTGCAAAGCGATACACTCTCTATTTTTCGGCCATCTGCTTTGCAATAACAACTTGGAGATATCTCACTCACTTACATCAAGGAGAGCACCCGGAATTCTATCGAACATTTTCTTCGCTCCTTTTTTGCTAACAACTTTTGAATCTAGGAAGAATTGTCACGTGGAAAATTCGTAAATAAAAAACCAAACAACTACAATCTTACCATCGTTTGAACAGAATGACTATATCATAGTTCACTATATTAAATAGTATAACAGTTGCCGAGTTGTTAATGGATATAACAATTGCAATGCTGATGAGTTGAGGGCATCAGCCTTGTAGTTTATAATCTCACAACACTGTGATGTATGCTGGCCCAAATCTATAATGTATTATACTAATAAAAAAAAAGGAATAGTAACAAAATTCTAACAGAAACTGTTTTCCAATTTCAGTGTATTATTAGTTCTTTTTTTATTTTATTTTTATCATTTCCAATCCAATAACAATTGATTGCTATATTAATATATTGATTTTAAATCTGTGAGACATTGACATATCTGGAGATCCCATTCCATCCGCAGTTATGTCAAGAACTACGTTGTGGATACTTCCTGAAGGCAGAAAGAGTGCTACTAGATGTCCTAGCAAATATATAGAACCTGACAGTAGATTGGATGATCTTGCAAGTCATCTCTGTGAAAACCAGAAGTACCTCAAAGACGCTGAGCCAAATGACATCGAGTTCTTTTCTTATGACGACCGTATTCAACCTATGAGAATGAGCACACCTCTTTCAAATCTCTGCACGACTGATAATAGTCCTCTTGTGGTCCGGTACCCGTTGACAGAAAGCGCTGGTAAGCCTTTTCCCCCTTCCCGCATGCGAACTGAACGTCATAATTAACGACTACTATCAATTTTAATGTAGTTGTCGCGAACGTCAGATTTCTCGGGTCTTCCACTGAAATTCGCCTTACTCACAGCTCTGGTACATGGCATATGCTTGTTAACAAGACCAAGGCGAGATACGAGAACTTACAAGATGGCAACAATTCCTTTTATTATGTTGATCAAGAGACTGAAAAAAAGATCATTGACGAGGAATTTGTATTTAATGATTTGCTGAGAAAAACTAGTGCGAATAAAGAAGATGAACTTGTTCTCGATCTGTTGGTCAGGATTAAAGGTCTACCTGACTTTTGACTTACATCTCTTTGATGGATTCCCTTTCTATCAATTTCTCGTTCTTTCGCTCATCTGTCATCTTTTTTTCAGGTAAGAAAGCTTATGCAGATTGGAATATCAATGAAGTGCTCAAGGACGTTCTGCGACAGGAAAGTAGGACGACTATTGCTCATATACCTCAGTTCAACATAGGTAACGTCCTCACAGCTTTCTCGACACGAATCGACTTTTCTTTCATTAATATTAACTGGAGTGATTGTGCGGTATGCATACCCTAGAATCCAAGTTCAGCAACATGGATCCAAGATTCACGAAAGATGAGATAGACCGCTTCGCAGCTAATATCGAGGCGAACTGGAGGATCTTCAAAAAATCGATCCCCAACGAAGCATCAGCTCGTTTTTTCATTGACTCGTTTATGTCATCTGCGGTTTCTCATGTCAACCGTGAGCACTCCTCAATGAGACTGGGCGTTGAAGAAGTACTCGATGGAACCCGTGGGTACGGTTACCTAGATTACTTGGTCGAATGCTATGAAATCGTGGTATTAGTAACGGTAGCGAAATTGGAAGAAATTCAGAAAGGGATAGCCCAGAATTTGGTACAGCTGCACACGGCGCTAGAGGTATTCACAATTATCGCTCTTTCTGTTGGGTAATTGTTGACTGCCTATTTCCACTGGCTTTTCCAAATGCCTTGTTTTCTTGCTACTCAGCAATCGCTAGGTAAGAGAAAGCGTGGTGAGGATGTGCGCAAAGATGGTGGACTTCACGAAGTATACGGGATCGTAACAACCGGAGAAATCTGGCGCTTTCTTCGATTGGCTGGTTGCCTTACAAAGCCAGAGATAGGACTCTCGCAAGAGTTTATTTGTGATTTTGATGAAGTTGGCAATGCGAAGTCGATACTAAGATTGATAACTTGTCTTCTGAAATCGCGAGCTGACATTCTTAAAGCGGAAACCGAGAAAAGCGGGGAATCGGGAGAAGTCGAACAAGATGATACAGAGGAAAGGCTTGCACAACGAGTTCGCACCAAGCGATTTGAAATTTCATTGGTGAGTTTATAGCTAATAGGCTTGCTTGCACAACGAGTTCGCACTAAGTGATTTGAAATTGCATTGATGAGTTTATAGCTAATATGCTTGCTTGCATAGCTGGACAGAAGAAAGGTACTCCGTTTTTCGAATACGAATTGCAAAAATCGAGTAATACAAATCAGCACATTTAATAGTAATAATAATAATTGATACACATTTGTCAATATTGTCTTTATTATTCTTCAGATGTTTTATCAAGTAACTTGTTAAGATATTCCCACAAACATGTTATACTTGATAAGTATTTTCGCTCAACGAGCAGCTGGTCAATTGTCGCTGATTTTATCGCTTGAAAAAGCGTTTGAGTTATTAAATTTACTAACCTTTTTTTCCAGTCAATTACCAAATTCCAAGGCGTCATTGACTTTTCTTTCGCTATTTCCTTTCACTTTCCAAGAATGTTCTTTGAAGAGAATAGCTGATAAAAATAACCAAACATTTTTTTCTATAAGGTCTAACTTGGATTTTATTATTGTTATATCTACAACACGATTCACGTTTCATTGCTTTCATTATAAGTAATGATGTGCTCATTTCAGTTGCATTTCATTAAAATGATATTTTCCCCCGTCACAAATAGCTTGTTCGTTTCGTCACTCGTTCATGTGATTGATGCTCATACATAGCATAGGCCTTGCATTTACAAGCAAACCCACACCCAAGCGCTATGCCGTACGGTCGTTAATAATCAAAGTTCCTATAATATTAAGCCTCTGCAACAGCAAGTCTGTTAGAATTGTAATAGTTTAAAGAGTACATCAGTTTATCTAAACAAAATGCACAAGTTACCCAAATCCGTATTCTTTTCAATTCGTTTAATTAATCAACAATCTTTCGAACATCAGCCAACATGTCCCATTCTACCGATACTGTTTCTGCATTTTGACCCTCGACCAAATAGTCCTCCATTTCCTCAAGATCAAACTTTCCAAACCTAGACTTGTTGGCCGAGACTTTATTGCAAACTTGAAGAGTAACCAGATTCGACGACGTATCGAATCCGAGTATTCTCGCTTCTTTAAAGTCGGACCATTCGGGCGTATATGAATCAGACATTTCCATTATCTGCCGTAAATCGTAATCAAAAGTTAGAACAAGGAAACAAAAAATCAAAAACTATTCATAGGCTTGTTATACTTTGTAAGCAATCGTATCGCCGACAACGGGACTTCCACTGTACAGTTGTAATTCATCGTAATCGCGCCTCGAAACCTCAATCTGCTCCTCTCTAGTATCACACTCATTAATATCATGATCCAAAGTTTCGCGCGGTTGTGTCCCATTACCTTTCCCACTTTCATTGTCCGTGTCTCCATTAATTTTTTTTTTAGATAGTCTATGATTGTTCTTTCTCGCAAAGTTCATACAAGTACTAATCAGCCGCCCTGGACCAGAAAATGCCAGATCAGTCTCACCAGTGTCCTCGGCATTATCCGTGCTGATCACCTCTTCAACTGATCCGTCAGCACCAAACCGAACGTGTTTGGGTTTTACACCCAACATCTCTCTTACAAAGCCCTTTTTCTTGTTTGCAGAAGATGAAAGTGAAAGTGGCGGTCTTAAAATTAGCTCATCCGTTGAAGGTTCACAAACTTCGTCCACGCGTTTTTTGATTTTATCGATTCTACTTTTTGGTGTATGATTTGATGTCTCGAAAATGTCATTGGGTGTATTTTGATTTGGTATCTCGCGTGTATTATTCTCTTCACGGACATATTGTTTTGATATCTGTTTATTTTTATTCTTGATAATAATATAAATTAGTATTAATTTATGAGCATATAAAATATAATAGAAACAATTTCACCTACCCTTTTAGATTCTTCTACATAATCATCCGATGAATCTGTCTCCGATAAGCTATCAGCGTAGGTAACCTTTTTTCTTTTTCTGAGTATCACTCTGGTCGAAAGTTCTTCCTCCTTAAGATATATTCGTAGTTAGAAGAGATATCTTCGGCTGTGTATACCTCATCGCTTTTTTAAGGACCTACCTCTTCCTGTCCTTCCCTTCTTTTTTCCAACAAAGTTCTTCGCCTTTTCCCCACTTCATTAATATAGTCATTGTGTTCTAACGCACGCTCCACAATGAATACATACTAATGGATATCAGATTATTATTTAATATGAAACGAGCCAAAAAAAAAATCGAGAATAAAATACATACATCTAAATCCTCAAGAATATTTTCCAATTCCTTGACCTTTTGCTTCTTCTCCACTTTGTCCCAGAATTCTTTTACTTCTTTGGTATTCGTTTCATCCTTTTTATGAAAACTCTTATTAGAAATTATAATCCCACATCGAGCACGATAGATCATCAACAACTCAGCCTAGAAAAGTTCGTGTCAAGCACGATAGGTCAACAACGAACTGTTCAAATTGACGAGTTATTGTTGATGCAGTACCTATAAAAACAATGATAACATTTATTATTATTTCTTAACTTCAAAAGTATCCAGAGCGGTGACTGCCATTTGTTGGTTTGTTCGGGTTTTAGCTATGGTGCGCAAGGTCTCAGTATACGTATTATACTCTTTCCACTTATCCCCCGTCCAATTTTTTTCTTTCTGGCGGAAAGTTAGAAAGTTTAAGAGGCCCCAATCATGAGAATCCGAGAAATAGTCAGTTTCCATCTTTATCAAACACGAAAAAGAGCAGAATCAGCGATTTCCGATTTATTTACATGTTGATTGAATGTTTGTGTTACGCAATCGAGAAAATGAGCGAATCATTACTTGAAGTATTTTTATCCCGTGTCTTTAAAAACACCTCTTCAAAAGTATGGTAAACAATGGATACCTGATTACGTGTTAGCGTACGATCGATTCTGTTTAATGTCTCTTGCGGTAATAAAGGGCGAATTATTACGTATTTCGTAGTTATATTCAGCCACGGCTCTCGGTTTTATGCTGTGCTATTATTTTCGGGTGAGTCGGAGACTCGAAGCTTTGCTTCTTCAGAGATAACGCTGATTTGCGCTTCAGTATTTTTGGGTATCCATTGGCAAGTGCATTCTCAATTTTTATCAGTTAGAGGATGAAAAATTAATTCGAAACATTAGCTTTAGTCACAGAATACGTGTATTAAAAAGATAAGTTAACGGACTAGCAAAGCTAATAAATATGAGGTTTTATCGCAACGAAGGTTGTTATCGACAGAGGATGTAAAATTCATTGAAAAGCTTATACGCGTTGTACGTAGTATCTTGTAAAGAATGCGGCAAGTCGACATTCGGAGAGCATTCAGGCAAATATCGGTTTTCGAGATTATTATCACCGAAAAAAGCTAGCAAAAATCGCCCGGAACAAGAGCGTGAGTAATTGAGTTGAAAAGAGGATGGAGATATCAATCCAAATATTCGAACATCCTCGAAATTTTCCAGCAAATAATAAACTATTATAATATTCGTAGATGGAAAATTCTTAACCCCAAGAAAGATCGTGGCGCTGCAGAAGAAATAATAGTGTAAGAGCTCACTCACTCTCACTCATAACGCCGAACTTTGATTTTATTTCCAAGCTATTGTACATATACATGCTAGAGGCTAGCACTAGTTTTAACAATCTAGCACTAGATAGATGGATAATAATAAGAGGTGAAATAAAAGTTAAATTATTCGTTGGGCTGATGCTTTTTGGATAGATTAGGCGAGATAATCATAATTAGTCAGGGCTCAAGTATGTGGTAACACTAAAGCACTGAGCACCGCCCAATACTTGTTGAAAATAAATAATGTCTTTTTGAATTTTCATTGTTATTTTATCTCCCAAGTTTTTCCCCTACTGGCCGTCTCTCGCTCCTAACGTGTGGTCTATGCGAGTGTTGCCAATTATACCATAACCCTCGAATAATACACATATACTACCTAACCTAACGACACAAGGCAGACATGTCGTTCATGGACATGGAAGCGGGTCTGGGGCCCGGTCCTCATGGTGCTCGTTACAACAACAATATACATGCAGGCGGCCCAGGTTAGAACATGACCTTTAATAACTTTTAGGCTTTATTCTATTATCGAATGCTCACTCGCGATTCTCGTTTACAGACGATGATAGAGAGTATAAGGCTCTTAGTAGCAGCATATCCCAACAAGTATTTAGCATTACGAACAATGTTGCGTCGATAAATAAAATGGTCTCGCATTTGGGAACAATAAAGGATACTCCAGACCTAAGAGCTAAACTGTAAGGAACATATTCATATTACTTTGCTCTTTTCTTTTCTTTTACATAAAAAAACAAAACAAACAAACATATTTTTTGGTACAACTTGTCTTTGTAATTGGCACGAACAGACACAATATTACAGAGACAACGCGAGAACTCGTCAAGAACACAAGCAACGGCCTCAAGACGCTTTCGCACTTTGAGGGAAATGTTGGTCAGAGTGTAAGTTATCTCTTATTGAGCCGATCCAGCGTAATTTCACATAATTGGTTGTATTGTTAATTGACATATGAAATCCGATTACAGCGCCAGCGTAAAATCGAGCAACAGAAGTTATCCAAGGACTTTCAGAAGACTTTGCAAGAATTTCAGATAGTACAGCGACTCTCAGCAGAAAAGCAACGAGCATATGTAGACAAAGCAAAGGCCCATAATGTCCGCAATGATGTATAGTATGTATGAATGATACTTCTTATAAAACAACATCGCAAATACATATTATATATATTATTCTGCTTGCTATATCTGTATTGCGATACGATTAATATGTTTGCTTGTTATTGTTGTTTTGTTTTTTTTTGTATCAAAGTACCGAGGAAGATGAAACTGGCATTCCAGCAGAAGAACAGCCGTTAATAGATGACTCTCAGCGACGTCTGCAACTTCAAGTAATTGGCAACGAAGTAGAATATAATGAAGCACTTATTGAAGAGCGTGAGGAGGAGATTCGAGGAATTGAACAGGGTATTAATGAATTAAATGAAGTATTCAGAGATCTAGCGACGCTAGTGACTGAACAGCAACATATGCTTGGTATGTTTTATATTTGATGTTGATAAATCGCTCTTGATGCGTAATTGCTGAAAAGTTTCCAATGCATAACTATCTTTTAGATAATATTGAGACCAACGTGTCGAATATTACCGACAACGTGCGAAACGCCGCTGAAGAAGTGTCGATTGCAAGTAGACATCAAAAGGGAGCACGCAATCGCATGTGCTTTTTGTTGCTTATATTTGCTGCCGTTGGAGGAGTAGTTGTATTGGCAGCTTTAGCTTAGTTGCAGTGCTTTGCAGCAAGGAAAGTGATGTATTGTGTACGTGATTGGACAATGAAGCGATCGGATCCATATTCTGTTGATGAACTATCTTGATTATTTTGAAAGTTGTGAAGCTTAGAGTATAGTCAGCTGCCGTTACCACCAAGGAGATGAGATGCATCGATCGCTGTGTTTGAGGGTCGGTCGTATCGATATTAGTTTAGGATGTCGGTCGTTATATACTATATACCAGCGTTATGATATTCATATCAGATATTAATACAAGTTAGGCATTATACATGGAAATTCGTAACAATTCGTCACTTTTTGAAATTACGGTAATAAACTGATTTACGTAAGAGACGCGCCTTTTGACAAACAATTGCCACAAACGTTACCATTCCGGGAAAATAGTAATTTCTTAGTATTGTATATCTTTAATTCCCAATTAAGAATAGTAATAGGACTGACAATACTAAAAAGTGAACTATTCATGCATGTGTTTATTCGGGTATGGTTCATTTCCCCGACAATTATTTCTCCGAAAAATATTCTCCACCAAATATTTTATTCATCGATGTTTATTATTAACAATATTATCAATTTCGTATTATCGTGTGATTTTTGTCTGTCAAACGTTGATAGGTAGATTTCCTATAACGAGTAACTTTCATTCCAGCTGAATTATATATATATTATTATATTTGTTATGTGATAATTATTAAAATCTAAGATCTGAGAATTTAGATTTGAGAGTTAAGATCTAATAATTAGATTTATCTATATAACGAGTATGTCTTCTCTCTTCTCTCTACTTTTCTCTTTCTCTTATCTCTATCTCTTCAACTTACTATCATCTTCTCTGCAAAACCACCAACACCAAAATAACCGAATTCAAATTAAGATTTCACCACGAAACACAAAAATATCAGACATTGCCTCCACAAAACTCAACCTAAACCATTTGCCCCTAAAATCCTACTACACAGAAAAATAACAACATGGTCCAAATACGGCTATTCCATATATCGACATACTGTATATAATTAAATCAAAATAAAATTCCCATATTATTGCTACCATACATCGATACAGTATATACCATAAACCTGAATAACTGCAACTCTCCTACTAACACACTAAACGAAATTTTTGTACACCCAGCCATTGATGAAGCACAATTTTTATAACTCCCTAGTTTATATAATAATAAGAACGACCCCTCTTTAGGTCAATCTTTAACTATATACAGTGTGTTAATATTAATATTAAGAAAAACGGCGGTTATGACATAATTTTTATTTAGTACAATAAATGATAAAATATTCTGTGCGTCATGTTCCACATAATTTAACAGCTTATTTATGTCTCGTCGAAGATGTTTGCCAAAGAAAAGGCTTGGTCGTTTTCTACGTTCTCTTTCAAGCGCTTTATAAACATATGTTATACAAGGTACAGAGTTGAAATTCACAACATTTAGATTACATTCCAACGATGTCCATTCTCTCAACAGTACTACATTAAAAGGCAAGAGTTTATCTTTTTTTTCATTGAGGACAATTTTAAAAAGCTAAAAAATATTAGCATCTTGGAGCATGAGAGAAATAATTCTGTTTGATCAAAGTTTTATATACAACATACCAGAGAATGGACCGTGGGAGAAAATAAGACTATCGCGTAGTAAACCAACTGCTTTATGTAAGCATATTGTATATTCAATAAATGACTACTCTGAAAACTATTCACAGTGAAATTTGCATCTGCAACAATGAGATGCTTGCTTCTCAGAAAATTTCAGAAAAATAGACAAAGATTTTTGAATGCATTAAAAAACTGGCGTAAAGAAATATAATGGGGAAATGGTAATAACATTAATGTATTAAAATTTTTACATTAAGTATTGTACCTAATACGCTCTCTAACGAGCCTAGTTATTCCTCGTGATTGTTGAGATATGCCAATTTTTGTCACCGCCGTTTTTTTCTTAACACACTGTATAGCGGATTTTTTGGTCGATCTATAACGATAGCTAGTAAACAAATCAAAACCGGTCAAGCAGTCCATGGAAAGGTCCTTTTTTCATTTTAGACAGGAACAGGAAAATCGAAGACCTTATTTTGTTCCTGTAACTAAATGCGTAGATGATCTGCAACTGACTCGACTCGACTTTGAGCAAGACCCGATTTTTAATATGATTGTTCTTCCTTAAGTACGTCTGTAGTTAATCTTGTACGTCGATTCGACCGATGACTCCGGAACGCAGGCGGTCGAATTAAAGGTACCATCCACATTTTAGCTTAAATTCCGAGAGCGAATAGTTTATTTATTAGTACTACTGTACTAGTAACTATACTCGTGCTTACAAAACTGTAAATACATTGACCTAAGATATTTACTAAATTTTAATCACATTTTCCAAATTAAGCGAAGATGACAAAATAAAAATAAAAAACGCAATAAATAGTTGTCGTAAATAGTTGAAGAGAATAATATTTATGAAGTTCCCGACAACGACCACAAACTTGTATCTCTTTAAGGATACTGATCAAGCAATTACGGATGTAGACGACATAGATGATAGTGAGGAAAGTCCTGTTATTACTGTATTAGCGCTAGCACAGCAATCGCTAGCTTGGAAATAGTACGTGCCTTTCTTTTACAACAGGACAATGCGGAAAAATATATACCTCTTTACAAAATATTGAGAAGTTTGTTGAAGTCAGAAAAACAAACTCAATGCGTCAAACTAACACTGACACATATTTTTCTTAAAGTGTAGTCTGACTTCGATGTGATGGATAATAAAGAGAAAACACTAGTCACTATTATGTGTAACAGTTTTCTGGTTTTCTAGAGTCTCCTGATGGAACAAGTTCCGAATCAAGTGATAATGAACTGGCTCTCCTAGAGCTGGTGTTCTCTGTAGGAATTGACATAATTGAAAACGTCTATTCTTTTATGCGTATTTTGTGATGAGAAGTCTGATGTCGTGTCCCAATTTTTTTATTACCTAAATTAGATATCCAACCCCAAATTTGGAAAGGAAAACGAAAAAGGGCCGAAGTTAAGCGTTATACACGGATCATCGTTATCGTTACACGAAAATCATATTGTGTAACTACCGCTCAAATATTTATTGCATAACAGTTCTAAAAATGAATTTTTCGCACGTTCTAGTAGATTATTCGCCATCAATGCATCATCTATTGCTTCGTCTACATTGCTCAAATCATCATAGGTTGCGTTTTCGCTATTTTCGTCGATAGATTCCTTCGTCATACTTGTTATCAATGCATCAACGTTTTTCTTAATCTCATCCTGAAAGTATTCCAAACGTATAGAACATTTGAATTGACATCGTTGCAGGCAATGACTATGATAAGCATGCCCGCATGCCAGGACGATGCCTTTGCTTACATCGCTCATCTGATCGCAATATATGAAATCACATAGAATAGACGTATCAGGTTTTCTGGAAGTAACAAAACCCCGAGGAAGATGACGATCTGTTATTTTGTAACCTAGAGAAGGCAGTTCATACAATCGGAAGACGTTTCAATAATCAACGGATACTGATGGCGTGTTTGATATATATTTCCGAACGCCTCCAAAAACCAATCCCTCGTTACTTGTCTAGATAATACGTAAGAGCAAATTTAAACGAGTTAATCTTTGTATTGTTCAATGAAGCAAGTAAGTAACAAGAAACTCATTATTTTCTCCATACGATCCATTGTCTGTTTGTTACGTCGAGCTGCTGAATAAAGCTGTGTAAAAAAGTCTTTTAAATCAGGTTCACTCGCTTCTAGTAAAATTCGCATTTCGTCAAAAGTGTAAATGGGTCCTTCGTTCTTCACACATTCCCTTTCAGCCTCTCTCCATTTCTCACCATTCAACGAACGGAATTGGTTGATTCAGTGAACTGGCACTCTGTGCAACGCTTGTTACCTGACATTTTCACTAAGTAATATTGGTGAAGAGCTGTGGAATTCAAAGGGATTCACAGAATAATTGATTCTATAGTGCAAAAGCAAGTTTGTTTAACATTTTACTACGGGGTTTGGCTACGATGAATTGTGTAACAATTGCCTTATTGGGGACGGTCCTGCCTGTAATCTTATAGTTCTCTACTTATTCAAACCATGTCGTTAGCATCAGAGACTGTTAATAATCCAGCAATTAATAACTTGGTTCAATCCTCCTTAGAAAGTGAATATGGATTCTTAAGACTTGAATGGATTCCTTGCTCAGATATTACCGACATAGAGCCAACTCAAATTGACAACGTCTACAAGGCTACTCGCAAACAAACGCTTAATGATGATTCAGCTGATGAAATGCCGATAACGCTGGTATTCCTTGGAAACAACGAAGAATGTACAACAACACTTGTGAGTGAGTTTGCCAGAGTATTCTCACTTCCAACACACAAGTACAATAATGATGTCAGTCAATTTAGACGAAGCAATAGATGATGCATTGATGGCGAATAATCTACTAG